TATGTTGTAATTGATATCTTTGATAATGGCATATGTAAGCCGAAAGCTTAGATTGTATTAAAAAAATATGGATCAATATTGTGAATTTCTTTCTACGTTCAATTATAATGTTATTAAACTTATTAGATGTTATGAAAAGAGTTTACATAAAATAAATAGACAACACTTGTGTATATTATTTAATGAAACGTGTATATATATATATATATATATATAATATATATATATATCATCCTAGTAAAATATAATGCACAGTAGTGGTACTGAAAATATAAACACTGTAAGGAGAGTAAAGTTTATAAATCTCGACAAAAAATGTTGGTGATAACTTCAACAATACTAAATACTGTAAGGATTTCAACATATTTCAGCATGTTGCAAAATAGTTCTAGTATAATTAAATAGAATAAAATATAAAATAATTTATTTAATAAAATCTAAAATTATATGAAAATATATTTAAAACATAAAAACATTTTGAATAAATATAGATCCAGTTTTACAGTAAAGCCAAAAATTATACATCATACCAGTTTAGTCATTAGAAAAGTAGTCATCGGTCTGGTTTACTTTTCCTTCTATGTCCCGTGTCCAAGCAGAATGTTGGTGGTCATGGCTCTCCACAATTTCCTGTTGTTTGTTGATCTTAATGAATTTTCTGTTTTGTTATCTCTCTTAAACCCTGTTCTGTGATCCATTTACTCAAGCTCGTTAGGTATGTTATGTGTCCTTTTCCTCTATCCTGCTTGCCTTCAATCTGTCCTTTGAGTATCAAATTTTCCAAGCACTCTTTCCTCATTATGTGCTCTAGAAATTTTCAACTCTTTCTTCCTGAGGCTAAGTATGAGATGCTTTTTTATTTCCACGTTCTCTAAAACTCTGTTGTTGCTCATATGTTCAGTCTATGATATTCTCAGCATCCTTCTATAGAACCATATTTCTGTTGCTTCATCTTGACTTACATTATTTATATTCATACTAACGTCCTCATCTTTGTTGTTGTTATCACAATGTTTCACTTGTTGTGTATTCCAGCCTTCTCCAAGTATCTGTAGATTTGAATAACCTTCAGGGAATTTTGAACTTGACCTTTTAAAAAGCAAACATTGTTCGATTTACTTATGTTCAAATAGCTTTGGGAAAAGTATGATTCAATCATTTCTCCCCCAGCTATAGGTTAAATAGTAGGAAATACTGGACTTTTTAGCCTGGACTGATAAGCAGTCTAGGAGAAGGATGACTCTAAATAGGAAACTAAATTTAAACGCTGAGGAGGGCTGTTTTGGGACCTCGTAGCACACTGAATGCACCAATTCTGTGTATTCCTTTCCTCCAAACAGTGTGAATGACACTGCAGAAACCTTCACCATTAATAGTCAAACAATATGCATAGGCTACTCTGACTGTTCAGTTGTTTGTACTGAATTGTAGGAATCCATATATATCTGTGTGTGTGTGTAAATATAAAAGTGGACACTGAGGTCAACACCGAGTGGCGACAGTCTGTTTCATGCTTGAGTGCAATCTTGAAGATTGCATTCAAGCGTGAAAACAAACTGTCATTGCTTGTTGTTGACCTCAGTTTCTACTTTATATTTTGTATTTACATACGCTCTATCCCTGATATTGAGCACTTTTACCCATAAATATAGCATACCATAAAACTATATTTTTTATCATATGTATATATATATATATATGCACACACACACATATATATATATATATACTCATCCATAGCTCAGTGTGGCTAGACATATATGCATATATATATATATATATATATATATATATATATTCATAGGCACAGCTCATCAGTGTGGTTAGATATTCAAGTGCCTCAAGCTGGGACTGAAATCAACTGGTTTGGCAACAGTCGGAGATGTTACCCCTAAGCTATTGGCACCAGGTAGAGAGGATGGTGAATTTTTGCATATTCATTCTTTGAATGAACCTGCCATATTATATATATATATATATATATATATATATATATATATATATATAAAACAAAGGTTGCATTTTGCCAAAAAACAGTCAATAGTGTCATTCTGGAGGCTATGATTTTTAATGCCACCAATCTTTGGAATTTAATTAATTATAATAATATTGTTATACTTCTGTTTCGCATTAAGCATTTTTTTTTATAATGGGTGCTTGTTTATTTTAAGTGTTACACATATCTATCATTATTTTCACATATGTAGTTCTGTGCATGCATGTGTGTGCTTCCTGATTTGGATATAGGCAAATATTTACCCATGTTGTCTCTAAGGTCATTTCATCCGAGAACACTTTACTGTTGAGCATGAAAAGGGCTGGCACTCCCTCGACTGCATCAGGTTCAAATGAAAATGCTTCCCCAGTTGAGAGGCATAAAGTATAAATTTTGATTAGAAAAGGTCAAAATAAAGAACATTTACATTTAATCATCATGTTAAATTTCTTCTCAAAAGTCTTCATTGGTTACAGTGTATTAACAGAATTTGTGTTCAGTTTCTTGGTTCATAATTATCACAGATATTTTCAATGTTTGTTGTTTTTTTTTCTTCTTTGGGTTTCAAATGAATTTTTATGGATTGTTTTTCTCTCTCTTTTTTGACTTCAGTTTTCTTTTTTCTAAATTTTTTTTTTTTTATTTATTTTTCTTTCTTCCTTCACTTTTTTCTTTTACATTTATTTCCTTAAATTTTTCTTATTAAATTTTTTTAAAATTTTATAATTTTTTCTTTTCATTTCATTTTAATTTTTTACTTTCTCATTTCATTCTGATTACTTTTCATTTTCCTTTTATAATTTGTTTCATTTTCTTCATTTCTGTATCTGTCACTTGTTTTTCATTTTTATTAATTCATTTGTAATTTCCATTTATAACACAATTCCTTTATCATTTTTGGCTTCATTTCATTTTCATTTAATTTATTGTTTTAATTTTTTCTCTTCTTTTAAACCAATTTCCTTCACTTTTCTTTCTTTCTTTCTTTCTTTCTTTCTTTCTTTCTTTCTTTCTTTCTTTCCTTTCTTCTTCACTCTTTTTTTTTGATGGTTTCTTTTATTCTTTTTGTTTCATTTTATTTCCATTATGTTTCGTTTTTACCTTTTTAACTGTTTACTTTTACTTCCTATTTTCTTTTTGTTATTACTAATTTTACATTACTTCTCATCAATTTTCTTTGTTATAATTTTTTTTCCCTTTAGTTTTTAACCCGTCTTTCACATTCAGCTGCATTTCCTATTTTACTTTTAGAACTTTAAACTATTTGCTTATTTTTCTGTTTTTATTTTATACCATTTTTAAAAAAATTTTCTATTTAATTTTATTTTCACTTTATTTTTATGGATTTTGGATTCTTTATATTTATATTTTAATTATATTCCCTATTTTTTCATTTTTCTTTTTACGTTTATTCAGTATCATTTCTCTTTACCCATTAATGTTATTTTATATTTTTCTTTTACCTTTTTAATTGTATTCTCTACTTCCACTTTAATTATATTTCCCTATTCCATCATTAATTGTATTCAATATTCTCCCTTTAATTGTATTCTCGACTTCTCCTTTAATTGTATTCCCTATTCCATCATTAATTGTATTCCATATTTTCCCTTTAATTGTATTTTCTACTTCTCCTTTAATTGTATTCCCTATTCTGACTTTAATTGTATTCCATATCTTCCCTTTAATTGTATTCTCTACTTCCACTTTAATTGTATTCCATATTTTCCCTTTTAGTTGTATTCCTTATATTTTTCTCTAATTCTATTCCCCATTCAATCTTTAATTCTATTCTTTTTCCCTTTATCATTTTATTTATTATTTTTCTTTTTCCCTTTTATCAAACTGTTTTCTTTTCCACCTTTAATTTTGTTTATTCTGTATATTTTTATTTTTTCCATGTATTTTTTTCCATATCTTTCTTTTTACTTTTAACTTTATTCCGTATATTTTGTTCTTTTAATTTCAATTTTATTCTTGATTTGCATTTACTTTTAATTTTATTCCCTATTTTTCTTTGTTTATCATTAATTTTTTTCTCTTTATTTTTCTCATTAAATTTTATCTAAGTTATTCCCCATGAAATTTCCTCTCTACTTTTTCCATTAAATTTTATCTAAGTTATTTTCATGAAATTTCTCTCTACATCTCCCATTAAATTTTATCTAAGTTATTCCCCATGAAATTTCCTCTCTACTTTTTCCATTAAATTTTATCTAAGTTATTCCCCATGAAATTTCCTCTCTACATCTCCCATTAAATTTTATCTAAGTTATTCCCCATGAAATTTCCTCTCTACTTTTTCCATTAAATTTTATCTAAGTTATTCCCCATGAAATTTCCTCTCTACTTTTTCCATTAAATTTTATCTAAGTTATTCCCCATGAAATTTCCTCTCTACTTTTTCCATTAAATTTTATCTAAGTTATTCCCCATGAAATTTCCTCTCTACTTTTTCCATTAAATTTTATCTTTGTTATTTCCCATGAAATTTCCTCTCTACTTTTTTCATTAAATTTTCTCTACATTTTAAAATTCTCTTTCTAATTTTCCTAATTAAATTTTATTTTTATTTTTTTTTGCCCTTCATGGAATTTTCTCTCTATTTTCTTTTTTTCCATTAAATTTTACTTTTTTTCTTTTTCTTCAATAAATTTTCTCTACATTTTTCATTTTTTTCTGTATATTTTTTATTCACCTCTTTACATTCTGTATATGTTTTATTTTTCCCTTTTAACTTTATTCCATATTTTTCTACTCATACAATTTTAAATTTATTTCCTATTTTTCTTTGTTTTCTATTATTCTGTATATTTGTTGTTTTTTTTCTATTTTTTTAATTCTGAATTTTTTCCTTTAATGATTTTTCACCGTATCATTCATCACTCTCTTTAATTTTATTCCCTGCATGCAACCCCCCGCCCCTGTTACTGCTGTGACTCTCATTTGATCTCCTGATTAGAATGTTCTGCTTCCTTCTATTTTGCATGTGTCCTTCACTCAGTGGTGTTGAACCATGACACGAACAGTGCCAGTGATGGCAGAGATGGGCAGTCTTCGCAACAAATGGATTGCTCATCCTCATCATCCCCTTCATCTTCCTTCTGCTGCTGCTGTGTTCCAATCTGTAAGGTGCTTGGAAAAACTGGTGGACGACGTTTCTCCAACTTTAGCGTCAATGGTAATGATATCTGCTAGACACAATGTCCATACGCCCGTTTGTAAGAAAGAAAAAAAAAAATTACAAAAAGTATTTATATTTATAAATGACTCTCGTGATTGTGTAGCATGGAAAAGAAATCTTTAGAATTTTTAAAAATTTATTTTATTTGACATGCAAATTTTGTTGGTCTGTATTTGAAAGCAACAAATGACATCTGTGCAATGGATATTTGAGAGAGAAATTAGACTCATGAAAATGTTTTAATGCAAACACCAAATAACTCTAGTAAGGGAGAGAACTCTTAATAATTAGTATATAAATTCGGCAATGCTTAACCTTTGTGCCTGCAATAAAAGAGTGTCTAAAAAGGGCAGTCATTCCTTTGACACCGCTATTACTGTGTACACTTTTGACTCCCTCTGTAGTGTTTATTTTTCTTAAAAAGTAATGATTAGAATTTTAATAAAACTTAAACATATGAAAATGGATTTATATCTTTTCTTTATTCTTGTTGGAAATAAAGAAGAATAGATTTACTTGAGTGGAGCGGCGATTTCAACTGGGGAGTCCTAAGATGTGAATGTCTAATTCTCCTCCACTTTATTAGTCTTCCATTTCGATTGGTGGAAGAGGTGAGGGCAGAGTTATGTTATAAAAATACCTCCACCTCATACTCACTACCTTTTTGGCTGACAGTGAAAGAAGTTGTTATTGTTCGTGTCTGTTATTACTGTGGTTACCTGACCCTAGCGGAGAGGGTCATAAAAGAAGGGTGTTTTCTTTTGCAACCTGTTCATTCACCAACTATTTCTACGCTGGTCTTTTCAGTCGAATTCATTTTAGAAATTCTTGAGAATTTACAACAAAGATATTGAACACTATTTATTTATTATATTGAATAAAAAAATTGTTTTCATAGTTATTTATAAAATGGTAAATAATAAATATTGCATTGTAATTGGTTTACATATTTTGATAATTTTGTAAATATTTGAACAAAAAAATTTCTTTTCAAATCTATTTCTTTATAAAATGATAAATAATAAATCTTTCTGAAAGGTAAATAATAAAAATTACATTGATGTGATGGAATAACCTGTCACCCCCATGAGTAACTACACTATATTTAGTAACTAGCTATAATTATCGCTAAGTCAATGGACTACAGGGTCTAGCTGGGATCTGTTCCAGCTAAACAGTCAGACTCTCTGCCTTCAGGCAGAAAGGAACTCAGATGAGGCTCCAACGAAGGGCAAAGTCTTGTTTGGGGAGGTAGACTGACCCTGAACCTGTTTATGCGGGTTCAAAAAAGGAATATTTTTGGCCATGCCTACAGGCTTGGAGAACCCACGTTAAACCGGCCTTGTGCCACATGCAACCCTCGTGGTGGGGGGTAGTTAAATATACTAGCTGGGATCTGTTGAGTAGGACTCAGACTTAAGCGAGAACTACCGACCTTCCAATAGTAGCACTCACTATTGGATGGACTTGCGAGGATTATGTGCATAACTGTCACCTTATTTCTTATTGTACTAGTTGTTACAATAAACTTTTACTTATTTATCCAGTGTGTTTTTCAAGTATATATTCCTATTAGCATGAAATATACCACTCATTGTACTTGATTCATATACTTTTATATTCTTGTAAATAAAGTGTATACAGTAATAGTAGTTTCAAGGGAATAATTGTCCCTTTGACACACTGCCTTTTTGCATGCATGAAGGTTAAAAATTGACCTAAATTCTTTTGGGCTCATCCATTTTGATTGGTACAAGTGTGCATTATGCTGGCATCTACAAAATAGTAGAAAAGAAGAAAAAATGTAAAGTTTTTGTTGGCCGTGCACATTTGGCTTATTGTAAAAAAAAAATGTATAAAATATTTCTTAAAAAAATTGACATTTTTCACTAAAAAAAACAACAACAACAAAAAAAAAATATATCACACCACCCATCACGGTCCCACATCAAGGTTAAAAAGTCATTAGGGTGGCATTCTGTGTCATAATATAGCTGGTCAATGTAGGTGAATGCTTGGGTGATGAACCCTTCTTGCACCATGACTAGGTGTCTAGAGCAGTAGATCGCTCACAAATTCTTGTTTTGCTCACCTGCAGTGTCCTGCAAAGCTCATTTTATGTACATGTAATATTGCAAAAATATCAGGGATGGGTCCATAGAGCTGTGACTTGGCTGGATGTTGTCTCCAAGAGATGTTAAGTATAGGTCTGATCATCCAAGTGTAGGTTCCATCAAGCTTAAACTCTACGGCTTTAGTTAATTATTTTATACATTAAAACTGCCTTTACAGTGGCATGAAAGAATCTCCATTTGAAGTTGTCTGGTAGATCAGATTTCCAAATTACATCCACTTTATTCAAGACAGTCCAAGCATTAGTTTAAGGGTTTTTCAGTAGAATTTATTTTGCTTCCTAGGTATGTAAAAGTTTTGATAAATTTTATTGATTCACCTGAGACAGTTTGTATTGAACATGCTGGTTGAACCTTATGTATTCAGTTTTAGAGGCATTAACATAGTCCAACCTCATTAGGATCATTTTCTAGATGATGCTGGAAAACTGTGGAATTGGTAATGATGTCGGCAGTGATAGCTACGTCATCTGTATAGTCAATATTGGTCAACTTTTTTGCAGGATACCAACTTGAGAGACTTGGTGACAAAGTAAAATACTAGATGATGATGTTTGTTGAAGTTTCCAATATATAGTCAAGGGTGATAACAAAGAGAAAAGGTGCAAGGGTGTCAACCTGGAGAATCATTGCTTTCGGGGCGAAAAAGCTAGTGTCTCCGTCTGGGGACCTAACCAAAGATTTGGTATTTTTTGTTCTGTAGTTTCAGTAGAATTTATTTCGCTTGCTAACTATGTAAAAGATTTGACAGATTTTATTGAGCATAACTAAAAAAAGACATTTAGTCAGTTTCATCTTTATTTTTGTTGCTTTTTACTGCGTATGACAGTGTTTTAACAAGGTCGGCATCAGCTGGGGGTGGATAGTGAGGTTAAGCTCTAACTGCCTATAAAGTGCTTCCACATGATTTGCATCTCAAAGAGCTTCTGCCAACCAAGTCCAGCTCCTGGACTTCACATTGCAGAATTGTTCCTGCTGATCGAAGAAAGATAAAACAAGTCTCTGCTACTTGAAAACTAGTTGGTTTGAGGCAGGTCGTGTTTTAATTAGCCACAACCAATGGCCCACCTAGAAGAAGGAAAACTGATATAAAACTTCCACTGCCTTGCTATATTTATGGGGAAAGTGTTCAGTATTGGAGATAGTGTTTATAGAAACAATCAGTGAGGACATAGAAATCAACATTGCATGTTAACTGTCAGTTTAAACAAATTACATGTTCATCAGGATATGTTCATTTTAGATGAGAAACTGAAAGTCACCGTGTAGTTTTGATCTCTGTGTTCACACTGTTTATGTCTGTCTGTCTATTATATATATATATATATATATATATACTTTTTTGCTATATTTAATGATGTGTGCTTAGTATTGGAGATAGAATACATATAGATATAAAAAGTTAACATAGGAATCAACACTGCATGATGACTCAGTTTCACACCTCAGTATGATCTTCAACATGCACTTTTAATTCCTATATTTATACTATCTATCTATCTCAGCCTATATCTATCTCTCCCATATATATATATATATATATATATCATTCTATTCATATCTATCTTTCTCATTCTGTTCATATTTATCTAGCTAGCTATCTATCCCAGTCTGTTTCTTATCTATCTATCTATCTATCTATCTATCTATCTATCTATCTATCTATCTATCTATCTATCTATCTGTCCGAATCTGTTTATATATCATGTGTGTCTCAATCTATTTCTCTCTCCTCTCATTCTCTGTCTCACTCAAGCTATCTCTCTTTATCTCTCTCTCTCTCACCATGTTCATATCTATCTGTCTATCCCAACCTGTACATATGTGTCTCAGTCACTTCATCACTCTCTCACTCTTTTTCTCTCTCTCTATCTCAGCATGGTTATATCTATCTATCTATCTATCTATCTATCTATCTATCTATCTATCTATCTATCTAATCTCTTCATATTTCAGCCTGTTCATGTGTATCTCAGCCACTTCCTTTCTCTAAGTTTTTTTCTCACACACAGTCCCACTTTCTCTGTATCAGCATGTTCATATCTATCTATCTATCTATCTATCTATCTATCTATCCAAACCTGTTCATATATGTCTTGGCCACTTCATCTTTCTTCCCATCTATCTCCCTATGTCAGCATGTCCATATCTATCTATCTATCTATCTATCTATCTATCTATCTATCTATCTATCTATCTATCTATCTATCAGTAAAACAAAATAGTCTGTTCAGGCTTTTCTCCCTGACTCTGAGTTTTTCAGAACTGGTATCCACTCTTCACATGGTTAGTATTAATTCACAATTTAACAAGTGGTTACTAATTCTGTGAAACTTGGAATTGTCAGGAAGATAAGTCTGAACATTTTGTTTTATTTGTTTGCTGTTAATTCTCTATTTCATAACATTGGCCCTTTTACTTACAAAGATTGCTTGGGAAATTATCAATTATTGCTTTTTTGTTTGTTTTTTTAATTTTTATTGAAGAGAAATGATTAATTAATTTTTTGAAATAATTTTCTGATTGCTAAACAGAATTAAATATTTATGAATTCTTTGTATGAAGAAAGTAAGAAATTGCTAATTCATATATACATTTTTCATATCTTCATTCATTCAAAGTAAGCAATTTGTGAATCAAATTCTTAAATTTTAAAAGTACTTTACTCAGGGAGAATGCAGTGTTTAATTTTAAAACACATGCAATCACAGTATAGTGATTTTGAAATGGAGTCATTGAAATTAATACATTTACTCAAGGTCCTCAACAAAATCCAGAGATGGATATGCAATGTGATTGGCCCTGATCTGGCATCTCGTCTACAGTCACTTTCTCACAGATGTGCCATCGCCTCCCTCTGTCTTTTCTAAAAATACTTTCATGGTAACTGCTCTGCCGAGCTACTTTTGCTGGTTCCCAGACTTCTACTAGGTTGGCATCTCAGTCCCACCCTTTCACTGTAGAAACAGTTAAATATAGCCATCTCTTCTACTCCAATGTCCTATCTGTGGAACTCCTTTCTTCTTACTTGCTTCCCTGATAGCTATAATGTCCAAATATTCAAATGCAATGACAATTGGCATCTCCAGATTCCTTGATCTAATTCCCCGTCCTTCTCTTCATCCTTTCCTCTATCATGCCTCTTTACTTTTGCTCCTAATCTCTGTAACCCATTGTGTGCTAGTGACACTTCCACATTGCTTGGGGGTGAAATGCTTAAGAAAAAACAAACTCTACTGCACATTAAAGATTCTTCATTCTTTGACACTTTGGTGATTGAACTATTTAAAAAATAACTTCAGAATTTCTTCCAAGCTGTGCTATAAAATTTGTATTGACTTACCTATTGCATTTAAAGCTTTCTAAAAAAATGTTTGTTATACATGAACTTTAAACTCATAATCTCTTGGCATCACTTTAAACTGATATCTTTTTTTTTTTTTTTTTTACATATCTTTAAGCTATAATTATGAATTATAATTTTTTTGTTATGAAGTGGTATTTTCTTCATATTTTATCAGTCCAGTGATAGTTGTTTATTTTGCAGAGCTGCTCTACCTTAACTCCTTGGGCATTTATATAGCCTATGCCAGTGGTTCCCAAATGGTGTAGCACACCTCACTGGTGCGATGATAGCAGGTGAGGTGGAATGATTGAAAGACAATTACAAATTTAGAAACAGTTTTAAAAAATTCATATGCCAAAAATAAATACGATTTCAAAATTTTAAATATTATTATGGATTACATGTAATTGCATGCATGAATCCCAGTAGAAATAGTTATAAATAATTATTGTTCAACTTTATCACTGTGATATTTTTGCATTATATCAAGTATGAAGAATATAGTAATTAGGGTCCGCAAATTGGAGGAGAGAGTTATTAATAATAATGTTCTGACTTCGAATCTGCAGTTATCTCCCTTTAAGTCTCACTCTGGTTATTAATTTAAAAAAATTCATATGGCAAAAATAAATATGATTTCAAAATTTAAAATATTATTATGGATTACATGTAATTGCATGCATGAATCTCAGTATAAATAGTTAAAAATAATTATTGACCAATTTTATAATTGTGATATATTTGCATTATATTAAGAATATAATAATTAGGGTCTGTAAATTGGAGGAAAGAGTTATCATTGATAATGTTCTGTCTTTGAATCTGTTATCTCTCTTTAACCCTCTAACTTTTTTTTATTTTTAAATGTATTTTTTATTACATAAAATTTGGTAAGGCATAAGTAAGTTTTAATTCTGAAAACATGGCCCAGAAAAAAAAATTGTTTGAGAACCACTGGTCTATGTCTTAGCTGTGCTAATTAGGCCGTGATGTAATAGAATAATCTGTCACCCCCATGAGTGACTACACTATAGGCAGTAACTACCTATAATATCTGTAAGTCAACGGACTACAGAGACTAGCTGGGATCTGTTGAGTACGACTCAGACTTATGCAAGAACTACCAAACTTCCAATAGTAGCACTCACTACTGGATTGACTTGTGACAACCTAAAGAATAATTGTTACCTTCATTTGTATTGTACTGTTTTTTTTACAATAAACCTTTACTTATTTTAGCCTCCTTGTTTTTTAAGTATATATTCCTATTAGCACAGAATATAACAGTCATTTACATATCACTACATAGTGAAAAGTTCACTGAAATATGTTAGAAGATGCTCAGGTTTTCATCTGAAATCAAGAAAATATGAACTTTAAGCAAAACTGTCACAATATTTAGAATAAGAAAGCATAATCTATTTTGCACATGGGTTGGCAGCCATTTTGAATACTAATTAGTCATATTTGCAGAAATGAAATATTTGCATAAGACACTGTTCAAAATTAAAGAGTGTGCAAAGAAAAACAGACAAACCTTTAAACTTGTAATGAAGCTTTATTCAAAGAAAATCAACCACTGCTTATATGTGACCATCACTTTTTATAGTAGAATAGTTCAGTGGGAAGACAACTATGGTTGCATTCACTACAGAACTTATCTTGGAAATTGCATGATCTGAGAATAATTTGCCTTCACTCACCAGGCTTGGCTCAACCTGTGGTATGTCTTTCCAGCAATTTCTAATTCTGCTACATTCTGAGATCACCAGGCTGATATTATCAAGAAGTTTTCTGCCAGTATAAATTCTGAATTATTCTAATATCCTTCCCAAATATGTCAAAGTTACGTAGCAGTTGGGAAAGTTTTTTTTTGTGACATGTTTCATCCGTTAGGATTTCGTTGGACTGGGCTTTGTCGACATTGCCATGTTTACACATGCGTGAAATGAGGGACGCAGGTAGTCTCAAAGTTTATGAAAGAAAATCAAACAATATTTATTTGAATAATGATTCTATAAACAAAAACAAAATGTTTTTTTTTTTTGCTATCCTCTGCCAGCCGCAATGATGGAGAAAGCATTACCTTGAACCATTGGCATCGAGACATGCCATTCCTAGCAGTTTTAATAGTTCTTTGTGATGTACTTTGTCAAAAACTTTTGCATGATCTATAAAACATAGGTATACAATTTTTGTTGTTACTGCTGTTGAAAGTCTTCATGAGTATCTGGTTTCTGTTATTTGGTAAAGTTCTTTGTGATTTTGTAAAGCTACAAGATTCGACAAAGGACCGTCCTCTTCAAGTCCTACTCAGTTGAAGCCATTTTTAATTTTAACTGATAATTTAAGCATTTCTGAATGAGGTGGCATTATATCTACATAGATGTTTAGATCCGATGAGGCCAGCTAAGAACATGACTAATTTTTAAGTTAGTATTTTGGTTTTGTAGTATCTTGTAGTACTGGACAAAACTACCGATAACACAAAATGTGCTCCTATGTTTAATTTCATTATCTGCTATACTAAATTTGTTATAACTGATCTATACCCTGAGGTATTTGAAGTACTTGATTATTTAACATGAATTCAGGAGATATACCATCACTGCTTTCATTTTAAATCCAGATCATAGTTTCTGTGTTGGAGTGATTGATTATTTGTATTTTAATTGTCTTTTACAGCTTATCAGCACTTTGTGGCCTATTTAAAACCAAAACATATTTTAAATTGTAGAAGGTCACTTACAGTAACTGGTGTTTCCAAGTGGTTCCCCATCTAAGTACTAACTTAGTTCAATGCTTTTTAAGTCTGGGGATTGAATGAGGACCAGTGCTTTCAGTGTGACAACTGAAGTGTCTGTCTTGGAAAACTTTATCTTAATTCCTGCTTCTTGGAACACAAGGTGAAGAATGTTGATTTGTTTGTTATGGGACACAAATTACAGTAATAGAATCAACTTATTTGATTACATGTAAAGGACATTTCAAGAAACCCCCATTGAAAGTGTCCGATACATATTGGAGAGTTAATGAATTTCGCACCTCAGTCCCCAAAGGCAATATGTTTGCCATTTACGATTTCATTTTAAATAAAAATAAATTTCATAAAAAATAAATGTTTTGTATTTTTATTCAGGTACTTATTTTCACTTAGTGTAATAATATAATATGACAGGGTGATGAAAAGTTTTCAGCCTATCCTAATTCTTGAAATCTGACCAAATTTTCATGTTAATTGTTCAGATAAGCTCTTTGTACCTAGACTTCATGAATTTAAGTGCAGTACTAAACTGGCATCAAGATCTCATCAATTTACAGCTGAGCTGGCTAGATGTAGGCCATAAATTCTATGCTTCTTTTCTCACACATCCCATTTGTGGAACTCCCTTTTGGTTCCATGATTTCCAGTGTACTTTAATCTGCAAAGATTTAAATGCAGTGTTAATTGCTATCTGTTGTTTTTTTGATTACTCTTAATGTTTCTGTTCCTAATTCTTCCACACCCTGTAACCCCTTGTGTCTTAGTGGTTTTACTGGCTTTTAAAAAAAAATAATTATCATCAAATATCAGAAATTTCTTTTTGAATTCTTTTGAGAAATTTTCAGCATTCTCTGTAAAATTGTTTTTGTTTTCATTTTCATTTTTGTAATTAGTGAATATGTTTCATGTCTAATGTTAAGAATTGTTTCTGGCCCTTCCCATCATGAACGCATTTCAACGTAAAAACAAAGAGAACAACTTTCATCCATTTATAGACTGTTGTGATTTTGAGCTAAAGAAAATAACAACAAAAAAAAATGTTTGTCATCAAAGCTTATCAATGTGCATATGTGGTATTTTGTTTCAGCTTCGTCATAATCAAATTAAGCCCCAAATAAATTAAAATGCTATTAGGATTGTCTTAATTAATAATACAGATTTGGTTATGGTTAGTTAATCACATATGTTATGTGTTCATTGTAACCATTAAAAAATATCACTCATTTTCAGTTTCAGTGCAGAATTTTCTAAGAGATTGCCTGACACTTCTTGGAATTTTTATATTCTCTTGGATATGAGTATATGCACTGATTGCACATATATGTGTGCAGGCACATCTCTCTCTCTCTCTCTCTCTCTATATATATATATATATATATATATATATATATATATATATATAAATGCAGACCACCACCATACATAAATAAAAATTGCTACTCGATACACGCACACATACACATGCAAACAAATAAACATTATCATCTGAATCCCACATAGATAAAATAGACTCATGATACACATACATACATAAATTTACACACAAACACTGCTTGACAAGACAAAATGCACGCGAAGTCTGCTTAACCAATGAAAAACAGAGGACATAAAAATTAAAAATACAAGAATTTTTTCTTTCTTTCTTTTTTCTCCATATCTCATTTTTTGATGAAATTTTAAAGGCAAAACAACATGTTAGATTTATAAATATTTTTCATTTGTTCCTCAACCTATCATATATAGTTATATATATATAACTTTTATAAAGGTGAAAAATGTTAGATTTATAAATGTTTTCCGTTTGTTCCTCAACCTATCTTATATATATATATATATATATATATATATATATATGATTGAATAAATTACAGACATTATATCTGCTAATTTTTAATAAAATCTGTTCATACTCATGATTAACCTACCATGTATTGATGTTAAAGGATGAGGGAAATGTGCTATAGCTTTTAATAAAATTAATCATATATAATAAAAAATACAATACAACCAGTTTAATTATCTGCAATAACTCCTCCCCACTAACTGATGTATTATGTAAAACCAACATTATATACCAATTTAAATGTCTCTTGGGAGAATGTATCTCTGACAAAAAAACAAATATATATGTTAGGTATACGGCAAATACACTAACAAGAAGGCTTACACTATCTGACCATTTGTCCATCGTGAGACATCTACAACAACATTCCTATCCACATTCACAATATAAAAAATTACTAGTCAACAACACAACTATCATACACCATGAAAACAACAGATTTAGGTTACAGATACTGGAAGCAATTTATATTAAAAAAGCAAAGTCGGCACTGAACAGAATCAACTGTGAATACTGCAGTAATAGTCTGAAATGCCTGTAAAGAAACAGTTTTTTCAGGTTTTAATGCGCACGTGACCATGACATTATAACTTAGAGGAAAAAATTCCACAATGGTTAATTTTTTCACATTCTAATGAAAGCTCGGCATATTGTCAACCGTCTTGCATTTAAAATCATAATGGAAAATTATGGTAATGGATAACAACGCACAACTTTATATAAATACGTATATTAATGAACAACATATAGTTTTATACCACTTGCACCCCTGAAGATGTTCTTGAGAGAAGATCGAAAGTACTTGCGAAATGAAAATAAAAGAAATTTAAACAGCTATAGCATATTTCTCTCATCCTTTAACATCAATACACGGCAGGTTATTCATGAGTATGAATGGATTTTTTTAAAAATTAGCAGACATAATGTCTGTAATTTATTCAATCAGACATTCCTAAAAGAGAATTTCCTGTCTAAATATAATATATATATATATATATATATATATATATATATATACAGGAAAACTTTTTCCACTTTGTCAAACATCATTCCTCCAAAACTGTTCTTCATATATCAAAAAATTAATATATTATGTATCCTAAATATATATATATATATATATATATATATATATATAGATGAGTGGTTGCTGAAATCCTTGGTATTACCAAAAAGGATTAAGAAAAATTCTGAAGATTGATCATTTAGTTTGATTTTAAAAATTGTGATGCACTGAGAACATTGCAAAGCCCTCTTGCCATTGTTCTCAGACTGACACACAAACACTCTGAAATGTTTGTATTGGAGCTTTCACCATGAATGTCAAGCTGTACAGTATGCCGTTTCTATATTTCTGTTGGAGTGAATTGTGTCATTCTGGTCTTTTTATCACAAACTGTGTCCACTTGACCCTACTATAACGTGCAGTTGACAAAATCAAAAGCAAACAACACACATATGTGAAAATAAAAATATAAAATGGCGACAATTTACCTATCGCATCCTCTTTGTGTGTGTGTGTGTGTGTATATATATATATATATATATATAATCACGCATAGAATCAATCAGCAATATTAATGCTATTATTGGCGACATCCATCGCTAGTAGTGTATAATGTATGCATTAAAATACTGTTAATCCATAGAGTGATGTGATCCTCATTTATAAAACTGTTGTCTGTTGTTTCCAGTTTAGATTTTTTTAAAATGCAAGTACTTTCAAATAATCCTTTATTCATCATCAGGCATATCTTTTCCTTGTAAAATCAAAAACTTGGAGACGAAATAATTGTTTGTAGACCGAAAGATGTTTTTTTTGAGAATGTGCTATTACTGACGCTTGAGTACAATATCAGAACGTGCAAAGACGCAACGCTAACTTTTTCAAAATTTTAAGTGAGAATTTTATTTGAACTTTTCTTGTGATGTGGTAAATCCACGTATTCTATTTTTACAAGTGTTTTCAGTTAATATGTCATGAACTATGTATATAGTTCAATTAATATAGTGTTATGTTTTAGTAGTAGTTTTTTTATAGGAATTTTTTTGTACTGCGGATCGATAGTTTTATAAACATAAAACATTAGGCAGCATATAATTTATATTTCATAGAATCAAATATTAATGCTATTATTGGCGATATCTAACTAGTAGAATATAATGTATGCATTAAAATACTGTTAATCCATAGAGTGATGTGATCCTCATTTATAAAACTGTTGTCTGTTGTTTCCAGTTTATATTTTTTGAAATGCAAGTACTTTCAAATAATCCTTTATTCATCGTCAGGCATATCTTTTCCTTATAAAATCTACAAACAATTATTTTGTCTCCAAGTTTTTGATTTTATAAGAAAAACATATGCCTGACGATGAATAAAGGATTATTCGAAAGTTTTGCATTTTAAAAAAATCTAAACTGGAAACAACAGACAACAGTTTTATAAATGAGGATCACATCACTCTATGGATTAACTGTATTTTAATGCATACATTATATTCTACTAGCGATAGATATCGCCAATAATAGCATTAATATTGCTGATTGATTCTATGAGTGATTATTTCTTTGTGTATATATATATATATATATATATATATATATATATATATATATATATATTTATATTAGTCTGTTCATTATTTATCTTAGTCTGTTCATTATCTATCTATCTATCTATCCCAATCTGCACTGAAAAGGTTTTGCAAAATCTTTCCTAATATATTTTACATTTGTATCTGTCAACTATCTTTATATTATCACTTGAAGGTAATCATATTTTTTTTTGTAAACTTTAATTTCATCTTTTGGAAAACCAATTATCAATATAACTGACAATCAAATATCAGTTTCTTCATTATTTTTGTTTATCATTAACTTCTACTCAAGATGTCTCCTTTAAATGTCACTGTTGTTGTTTCAGTATGGAGCCTTTCCTTTATATAACTAATGTATTAGGTATCAGCAAAAGATTCCAGCATTGTCTAAAACTGCTTTTCTACTCTATATTCATTCTCTATTTTTCAACAAAGAACACTGAGAATCTGGTTTATGTTACTTAGTAATGCCCTTTGTAATTTTGTAGAGCCAATCTACAAGATCTGATAAAGTATAGTCTTTTTCAAGGCTTATATATTTCATTCAGTTGAAGCCATATTTAATCATTAATCTGAGGTAACAGTTTTATAGAACTGATAGCTTAGAAATTTCTAAATGAGTTAGACACAGTATATGACATCTATATGGATATCTTAATCTGATGACGTCAGTTAAGATCACGGTCCTAGTTCTTAGGTTAATGTTTTGGTTTTGTGGCAAAATATGCAGAAATTGTCTGAAATCATCCTTGAAAAATATAGCCAAAAATGCTGGGACATACAGAATATTCAGACAATTTCTACATAATTTGTGTCCAGAAAATAAAAAAAGTTATAAGAACACAAGAAAAATTAAATAAAAAACTTAACAACAGTACCTCGTAAGTTGTATTTAATGAAACCTGTATAAAAAAAGGGATTACTGCCCAAATACACACACACATATATATATATATATATATATATATATATATATATAACTCATTTAAACACATACAAAAATCTACCAGACATACTAGTAGGGAAATACAAGTCTAATAGCCTCATCCATGTACAAAAAAAGATTAAAAATAATGGAATCGCTAATAATAAAAAGGAAAAGCCAACATTCAGCAACATTAACTATGAACATGGCCACAATGTAATGATGGTGTTTGGAAATTAAAACATTCTTATAAATTTAGACATATACACAAACCCACATTTAGTTAAAAAAAAATATTGCCCTTTATAATGGCTATGAGAATTGCCAAAAGTACTTGGATTTGCAGAACTTTTGGGCAGTTTTTACACACTTTGTGTCCAGAAAACACTTGTGTGTACACAAGAATAATTCAATAGCACCAAACCTTTTGAATAGCATTCATATTTACTTAATCAAGACGGGTGCACACTTCATAAACAGAAAATTGTAGTAAAAATTTGAATAAAAAAATCTTATTTACAATTTTTAATCAAACATGTATTGATGAAGGACCTCTATATAAATAGACATTATATATTCATATTATATTATAATATATATATATATATATATATATATATATATATATATATATATATATATACACACACACACAATAATGGCATCTCAGATTTCCAGGAATTGGTTCTATAAAGGCTGTTAATCTTAGGAACCTATTCTACTTTCTTTCTTTTCAATCTGAGAATGGAAGGAAATGGCTTTATAACCTCAAAAAGAATCAAACCATTTTGATAACTTAACAGAAAACATTTATTTATTAAAATATTTTCAGATTGAATTTCTGTTCAGAAGTATAATGCTTTTTGCCTCTAATGTCATCAGCTGTGTTATTGTTTCATAGTCACATTTGAATTGAATTGATAGAGTCCCAAATATCCAATGGAAGAACTATCAAATTTATAACTAGAAGGTTTGCTACATTTTTAACGTCAAGAAGATTTCTTTTGTCAGAATAAATTATGTTCATCACAGAATATGCTCTTTTAGCCTCTTCAGAACTTACAGTAATATTATTAATTATATTTCTACCTATTATATATTGGCTATTAATATATCAGATTATTTTCAGATAATCCAACAACTGGTTCACTGAGCTGTTATGATTTTAAGAATCAGTTCATATGAAATGGTAGGATGCCACCACTGTGTGCATATATAACGTTAATTCTTATGAAAGGATGGCTCTAGTTGTAATCAGAGCTTCATGCTCATGTTATCTTCAGGCGACTTGAATGCCTTTCATAGGAATTAATATTGTCAAGTGTTTTTGTTCTGTCTAGGTAATCTAGGTGTTGAGCAGATTACTTGAATGAGGGGGGAGATGTTTGGCTTTAAGTCTTTTTCTTTTTGCTGTCCTTATTTGAGATTTTTATCTTGTTTAAGGGTATTTAAATCTTTTGGCAAGATGTCCATTGGTTCTACCAATGGTTTTAGTTTTTCTTTTTTAATAATATATATATATATATATATATATATATGAATCATTCATACAAAAAACAAATATAGAGGTTAATGATTTAACCTCTATATTTGTTTTTGTATGAATGATTCATGAATTTATAAATTATATTTGCACCTTTTAATTGAAATATATATATATATATATATATATATATATATATATATATATATATGAAAAAATATACAGAAAAAAACAAACAAAAATCCTTATATGCAATTATGCTGTTTTAATGTTAATATGTCAACGTTGGACGTTTCAGTCTAATAAACCATCTTCAGGACATATTCATAAAATATAATCAATTATCAATTCAACAGGACAAAGACGATGTACATAAGAACAAGACTTATCCAAACAGATAACTGAAAGTTTTATAAGATCAGCGCTCCGGTTAAAACATTTCCGTATATTTTTCTTCATACTATCGGATCTATATCCATATATTTGCTTGCATATATATATATATATATATATATATATGTATATATATATATATATAAATTGCACATGCATTCACAGTCACTGCCATAATCAAATTAGAATAAAATCTTTACAGAACCACTTCAGAAGAGGCAAATTTTATATCTGAACTTCTGCTTTTTTTCATCTCTCGAGTAGTTGAGAATGTATAATCTGCAAACACATCAAGTGTCTGGTTTTAAAAAATATAAAAGAAATTTTGAATCACCTTGGGATAGAAAAGAGAAGTGGAAATATGTCTGGAACTTCTATCAGATGTTGGGGAGACAAAACAAGATCAGAAGAATGAAGATGAAAGAAACAAAAAAAAAGAAAAGTATTAATGATAAATTAATAACAAAATTATATATATATATATATATATATATATATATATATATATATATATTTTTTTTTTTCATTCAAACATGTTTTATTGAAACTGACAAGTTTTGTCTGTTTAATTTTTTTCGTTCTGTTTTTATAGTTTGCCTATAAAGTTGTTTCTTATGTAAAAAAAACAATGTTGTTTACCAAATTTTTGTGCCCGTCGAGAGATTGCATCTTTGATCCAAATAGTCAAAAAGAAGCTGAAATTTGTATGGTGGTCGTACAACCACAGTAATAATTTGTAAGCTGACTTGCCAATCTCAGTTCAGTTCGTACACGTATTGATTAACACATCACAAGAAGCAAAATATGATTATAAAAATCAGGCAAACATTAGTAGAAAATGCTAAAATAATATACAGTACTTGTAAAGAAAGATTTAAAATTCTTGAAGCTATTCTTATTCAAAGAAAAAAAATCAATATTAAACACAATGCCTTTCAACACAGAGGAAACCATTTTAAAAACAGTTTGAAAATTGAAAGAAATATTTTCATCCTCAGGTAGTGTTAAATATTCTGACTTTTAATGGACTAATTTTTAAAATTAAAAATTTATCTCCCTTAAATATAGTTATAAGGCTTTCTACTCATTCCCAGACCCTTAGCGAATATATGACACAAAGGATTATGTGTGCACTTCCAAATTGCTGGAAAACCAGTGACTGGCAGGTTGTGTCTCCTTTGACCTCTCACTTCTCTCTATGGGAAAAGCTGACTTGTATCATTCTATACATCCAAAACAAAACCAGAAATGTTTTATCAACTCTGAGCAGACCCTGAACCTGCACCAATTCAATTTGTTGGTCATACCACCAAAGAGGCTGCTTGCCTTGAAAGCCTACTTGGTCTAATGCTCATTCCCAAACTGAAATGGAATGCATTCTAGCATAAAAGGCGTGAAAAGAATAATTGGTTCTTTGAATCACTTCAGAAAATACCTAATTCTTGTTTTGATACTCTGTTTGCAAAAGTCAGATCAAACCAAAAATGGAGCATGCTACCTAGTTGTCAATGTCCAGCCTCAACAGAGTTTTAAAGCAATTAGATGGTCTTGTACTTAATGAAATTTTCTTCACCCTGCAATCTTTATCCTACTGAAAAAATGCATTGCTTGCCTCTCACTTCTCTATAGCTATTACTATAGCAGATGGACAGACAATTTCCTTAGTTCTACCAGTTCCACATATATCTATCTATTTATCTGTATATATATATATATATATATATATATATATATATATATATATATATATACACACCAAATGTAACAGCAAAATTGTCCAAATAGTGTTACAGCATGTAATAATTGCCCATCCCACAAAATGTTTAATATCTATATTGATTGAATACTGAGGTTAACGCCAATTGGTGAAGGTCTGTTTCAGGCTTGAATGCAATCTTCAGGCCATTGTGTTCGAGCCTGAAAAAGACTGTCACCACAGTGTCCATTTTTATATTTACGTACACTTCATCCATGATATTGAGGACTTTTACCCATAAATATAGCATACCTTAAAACTATATTTTATCATATATATGTTGAGACAGAGAGAGAGTGTGAGTGTGCTGTACCCAAAAGTTAATTTCAACAGCCAACAGAACCGTACCCAAAATATACATACATACATATATATATATATATATATATATATATATATATATATATATATATATATAGTTACTTATTTGGGTACAGTACTGTGGTTAGGAATTGTGTATATATATATATATATATATATATATACTATTGAGGACAAATATGTTGACTGTCAAAATACCTTTCTTTTTAATACTGATGTA